TTTTTTTTTTTTTTTTTTTTTTTTTGGGCGAGAGGAGGGAAATCTTCATAGACACCGGCTAGATGTTGTTGATGTTGGTTGCCGGTAGTGTGAGATTCTTACTCACTAAAACCCTCCCCTTTCTTGTACCTGATACTGCGGGACCGCGTTAGCATTACTTCGCAGTACCGGGCCCCCTCCACGCTGCTCCTGCAGCTTATTCCTCCGTTTCTTCTTATTTCTCCGCTTCTTCTTATTCGTCTTCTTCCTCCTCTTTCCTCTTCTCCAGCAGGACCTCTCTTATATACCCCGTCATTGCTGTCCAGTTGTTTATCGACGTCAGCATCCAAGGGACGACGTCTTCAGGCCTTTGAGGCACTTCCTTCTCTTCCCGCCAACGCAGCCGTATTTCAGACCAACGTTGGCAGTCAAAAAAGGTGTGCTCGGCAGAGTCAGCAACTCCCGGACAGTACACACAGTAAGGGTCGTTTCGGATCCCCATACGATGTAGGTAGGCACTGAACTGTCCATGCCCAGCAAGGAACTGCGTAAGATAGTAGTCTACTTCCCCGCAGTCCCTCAGTACCCAGTCACGGATCTGCCCAATGAGCCTATACGTCCAGCGCCCTGTTTCCCCAGTTTCCCAGCGCTCTTGCCAGAGCGCAAAGGTCTCCTCCCGTTCACGGGTTCTCACGTCTTTCAAAGGTCCTTCGCCAGCCCGTCGGGCATCCCAGATCCGTTTCCTCTCAAGACCTAGTAGGTCAATTGGAATTACACCCGAGATGACCAACACAGCTGCCTCTGAGACCGTTCGATAGGCGCAGGCTATCCTCAGCGCACCTCTTCGTTGTACCGATGCCAGTTGCTTCCGATATTTCTCTACTTTGAGTGACTCTCCCCATATCTCTACTCCGTAGAGCATGATCGAGTTAGCGACACCCATGAGAGCTCGTCTGCGGCTGCTCCTTGGTCCCCCGACATTTGGCATAAGCCGGGAAAGATTTACCACCGTCGTTGCTGCTCTTGTGGCCACACTGACAATCTGGTCTCGAAACGTCAATTTCGAGTCGATTGTCACTCCGAGGTATTTCAGGGCCCCCCGACTCTCGATGTGTTGATCCACAACTTGAGTCTGGAAAGGGTTCGGAAACCACTTCTGAGCTGTGAGTACCACCACCTCCGTCTTCGCAGTGGCCAGCATCAACCCATGATCATTTAGCCATGCGTTGATGGAGGCCGCAACAAGCCTCACCAATCCTTGCGCTTCGCCTTCGTTCCGCGCAAGAACATCAAAATGAGCTTATATCGTTAAAAATGTCAATAGTTCACAAGATACAAGGTTATTGTTTAATTATGTATCTAGAGATGGAGCATTTTCAAATGCAGCCTAAATACTTATCATCATAAATTGACTATTAGTGAGAATGATATGAAACCATGAAAAGGCACAACTACAGGTCAAGACTTTTCCAACGATACTAAATTTAACCATAAAAACTCATTTTATCATATAAATACACATTAGCCACAAAATTTTGCTCATTCTTTTAATAATATAGATTAATTAATACATTTATTTTTGCAAGAATTTCAAAAAATTCAAACGCTTTTATTCTAACACTTGAATATAATCAATCATATTTTAAACTTACTAAATTTATGAAAGTAAATAAATTTTTTATCATTACAGACGTTTGTGTCCAGACATATCATTCTTCCAACAAGGTACTGATTATCCTTGTCAAGCGATAGTCAATGCAAATGGACCAAAACGCCTGCATTCACGTGTACAGTATACAGTACTTAGAAGTGCCAATGTTGAGCGAAAAGGTTTAGGCGTCACTAAGGTATTTTTTTTTTCAATTTAATTTTTATCCGACAACACACAAAAAAAAATCTTAAAAAATTATTTGTTCCGACTTTCATAATGGAAAGTAGCAGGTAATATGTTTTAAATCGACTACTTAATGACTTATTTGACTCATTAATTTATAAAAATTTTATAGATTGCCGTGTCTGTAAGAAAAGCTCCGGAAGATTATGCACCACTAGCAGAAGGCGGAGAAGCGCACTGGGAAGTTCTAGAGAGAATTTTATTTCTCTACGCAAAATTAAATCCTGGACAAGGATATGTTCAAGGGATGAATGAAATCGTTGGTCCTATTTACCACGCATTTGCATGTGATCCAGATCCTAAGTGGAGAGGTTCATTGACTATTTATTAACAACAGTAGTTATTAATTTTGTTATGAGTGCTTATATGATTATTTTGTTCCAGAATACGCGGAAGCAGATACATTTTTTTGCTTTACAAATCTGATGGGGGAAATTCGAGATTTTTTTATAAAATCCCTGGATGAAGCTGAATTTGGTATTAATGCAATGATGATTAAATTGAGTCAACAAGTCAAAAGTAATGATCATGAAGTTTATTTAAGATTACAACAGCAAGATTTGTGCCCGCAATATTACAGTTTTAGGTAAATTATTTTTAATATTTTTTTTAATGCATATTCTTACTTATTAATTTTATTAAGGATATATTAAAGATTATTACCCGAAATTTTTATCAAAAATTATTTAATTATTACAAAGTTATTAACAATCTCGTAGAGCACTAGAAAAAATTCCCCTCCTATGGTTGCATCGATAACTAAATAAAGGATCATCTAAAAATAAAAACCCATATTTCTTTTCAATCAGTAAGGATGTATTTATCGTTGCACGTACTGAATTTTGAAAATTTTAATTTTCAAAAAAATGGCGACTGATTAAAAATTTTCTCATTATTTTTACTGTTATTTTTTTTTTGTTTTAACCCGGCTAAAAAATTTTAAAAATAAAAAGATAACTCTACATCCTTACTGATTAAAAAGCAATTTGGGTTTTTATTTTCAGATGATCCTTTATTTAGTTATCGATGCAACTATAGAGAGGGGAATTTTTTCTAGTGCTCTACGAGATTGTTAATAACTTTGTAATAATAAATATTTTTTAATAAAAATTTCGGGTAATTTATTTTCCATAATCCTTTATTTTCCCTGTCAAAAAAATTCTCGAAAATCACCTTTTTTTTCGACCGTCACTGTAGTGTTGTTCTCCCTCAATAGGACCAATATTTTTGGCGTACTATAAAAAAATTTATACCATTCAGTTAATTATGAATCGTTATTTTTAATTTACGAGAAAAATCTTGGCGCTATTTATTTATCACAAGTCTTAAGAATAAAGACGAAACGTTGCAAATCAATGATTGTTTAAATTGATTGAACTATATTTTCCAATTACCCATGAGCCTGATCGTATTGTCATTTATTAATCTGAAATTGTACCGTATAAATAATTAATCACATTATTTATTAATGCAGATGGTTAACTTTATTACTATCTCAAGAGTTTCCACTGCCAGATGTTATGAGAATTTGGGATTCACTTTTTGCTGATGAAAAAAGATTCAGCTTTTTAATACATATTTGCTGTGCTATGATACTGTAAGTATTTTTTACAATTATAATTATATAAAAGTACCAAAATATTTTTAGTAAAAAATTTTGTCATTTTTTTCCAAAGCTTAAACAACAAAAAAAAAAATAATTATTTAATATTTTAGATTACTAAAAGATCAATTGCTAGATAATGATTTTGCTACGAATGTCAAATTACTTCAGGTGATAAAAAATTTTTTTTAAATAATTAATTAAAGCCTAAAAAATTTAATTATATTAACAATAAAAATTTTTTTAGAACTTCCCTTCAATGGACATTCAAATAGTGCTCACTAAAGCAGCTTCATTGGCAGGAAAAAATCTCAGTACTCCTTAGAAAAAAATGAGTAAAATTTTTTGATCATTTTCTCTTTATCCCCATTTTTTTTTAAATATTCAATATTATACTTAAAGATTTTATTCTACTCTTTAATACTCCAGACTTAACTTTTTTACAAAAAAATTTACTACTCAGGGTATTAGAGGGGAATAAATATTTGTACATAAATATAAACGACAACAAATTAATTGAAAACTGAGATAATATTTGTATAATAATAATTAAGTGAAGATATTTAGACTTTTTAAGCGCTTGTATTCTTATCATCTCATAATCATTAGTAATGAGCGCTTAATCATTAAAGACTAAATGTAAATTCTTGCAATATCATTACCACTAAGCAATACAATCCTTTGATCGATTTTTAAATGTTGTCTTTACATATATGTTCATTTTTGAAAGTATATACATGTATCTTAAAAAATTACATATTTAATTATTAATTACAAAAATTTACTAAATATTTCCGGCCATTTTCTATGTGTCTAGTGAATAAAATAATTTTTTGTATAAAATAATTGTTAATTAATTTTTTGTTAATAGGATAAAAGAATTTTTAAAAAATTATAAAATTTATTTTAATTAAATTTTTAATATTATAAATTATAACGAATTATTTCAGTTAAAATATTTAATGATTAAAAAATTAAATTATTTTCAAATACAATTTTTTATTTTTAACTCAAAATAAGTTTGTTCATTTTTTAATTATTGATACTTTTATCCTATAAAAAAAAATTTTCAAAAAAAAAATAAAATTATATATCATTATTTTTATAAAAAAAAGATCCCTTGAATTTTATTTGAAAAAATAAAATTTATGTTTACAAATATAAAAAAATTTTTTTATTTATGACGTATTGTATCATATTTTAAGTTAAAAACTTTTTTTTAGGTAGATTTCGTTAGAAATCTAACTATTGCATTAGTCCTCATGTTGGAATTTTCCAGTAAGTTCCAAATATACCATTGGTTAAGAAATTTATATATATGGGTGATTCTCTGTAAGGACGTCTTAAATCTGTACAAAATTGTCCGACCAAATTATTTTTGATTCTATTAGAAAAAAAATTAACAAGGGCTACAAAATTATCAGCTTAATCAAAATAAATAAACAGCCGAATTAATTTTTGCTTTTTCGATATTTGTGTATCTTTTGCCATTTAACATGACAGGGGACTGTTTTTTTTTTATTAAATTGAGAAAAATCAAGCAAACTATTTCAATGTATTCAACTTTTCAAGTTTTCAATTAATGTTTACATTCATTAGAATAATATAAAGACTTATGGATCCAATTTTATAAATAAATTATAAATAAAAATAGTTGCCAGGGGACTGAGTTTTGAAGTGGCCCAGACACATATTTCCAGCACAAACGGTGCTTTGACACTAAATAAAATGCCGATAAAGCGCTAACAACCCTATGGTTATTAACTCAAGTCTAGTTAGGTCCTTATAAACCTTACAAAAGCCAAAATAACACGCTGGATTTTTTTTTTGGCTTTGAACTTCTGACAGGGGACTGTTCTTAAAATGCCTGGGACAAACTTTGGTTTAATGAATTTAATGAAACAAATTAATTTTCGGTACTTTTTATTGAAGAAGATTGTTAGTTAACTAATTAAGTTTATAAACATTATGGACCAAATTATATATTATGGACGAATAACTTAAAATTTAATCTTAAAGTTTTAATTTTGGGAACGGGACAGCCCAGGGGACTGTTATTTCGGTGGTTTACGAATTTATAGCAAAAAAACCAAAATTTATTTCATTTTAGTTTTCAATGCTCCAAATAGAAATGTTTTTTTACTTTCGTAATAAATTTTTTTTAGTAACAAAATAACAATTTTTCTAATAAAAAAATGCCTGGGACAGCAAAAAACATCCTTACAGAGAATCACCCATATAATTTTGAAGAACTTAATATTCTTGATGTAAGGAAATTTTACTTGATTAAAGAATTTTTCGTCTTGATTCAAGACAATTATCCTCTTCAAAATTATATTTTTGGTTCAAGAATTTTTTTTTTTTTTTCAGTGTAGGATAAACGAAATTCGTCAATAAGTTTAGAAATGGTAGCTCTTCTAAATTATCAAAATAGTGAATATGAAAATCACGTTTGTTATGACTCGATTGATGAATACTCTCGATCGAAATAAGATAGCTAATTTTCGAAAAATTCATGTAAAAGCTCATGAAATTGCCTTTGATTTGATGTGCATAACATATATAAAATAAAATCTACCTTCCATTTCAAGTGAGGCCGAATGGCATTTTTATATTTTATATTCATACATTTAAAATATTTATTATAACTTTAAGATATTTTATTTCACGTGGACGTTTTCAATGGATTTCGGAGTAATAATATCGCTGTGGTAAGCGCAGCGAATCAAATCGAGGGTCATCCGTAGCGTCTATAAACTCTGCGTAAAAAAGGGCTCCGAGGAAAGAAATAAAAAAGAAGGTCCACACCCTTCTGAATGAAATGCGTATAAAAATGCGGGCATGGTTCTTCTTTCTGGTCTTCCGAAAAGAGAGTAATCGCGTGGGCGGACTTTTATAGCGGTTGATTGCTTGATTTACAGGCTCAACTCCCATATACTTGCCCTTTGCGACTTTTATCTAGCTCTTTGCGTCTTCAGTCTCCTAATAGTCGCATAAATGCTTCTTTTACATTGTGTGTATATTATACAGTAGTTTTTTTTTGTTCAGCAAAAAAAAAATTACTCGATAGTTGATCAGGCCCTCGAGGCGTTCGAAAATTGCAACGGTCTCTTTGACAAAAAATTTTAACAGTCTAATAAAATACTTGATTAAATACTCTATCATTAAACATCCTCTCATTTTAAATAAATTTTATTTCTTCAGCAGTAATTATAATCAGTGCGCTGAAAAACTTTTTATCCTTTAATTAATATTGTAAATTATTAATCAATAATTCAAATTAGACTCTAGAAGAAATAGATAAAGTTTTATTACTAAAAAACTTGTTACGGAGTAGTTAAATTTTTCCATTGCGGCCAAGTTTGAATTAATTCAAAAAGTTTGTCACCCGGACAAGTGGTCGCTCTTCCTTGGCGGTGTCCTATCAATGCGTAATTTGATTGTAATTTTCCTAGAGTAACTGCATGGCTCAAAAAAGCTTTTGCAGTTTTTAAAGCCGCTGGCGCAGGGATTTTTTCTTTAAAAATTTTATAGAGCATTAATTAGAATAAATTTTTTTTTTTTTTTTATTTAATTGAAACTTACTGTCAAAAGTACCAATGAAACATATTCCTAAGCTTCTTGCATTGTAAGCAGGAAAATGTGCGCCTTTTATACCCGAACCGCGGCCTTCATAAACATTACCATCTTCTCCGATTAAAAAATTGTAGCCAATGTCATCCCATTCTTTAACATCCATATGAAAATTCTGAAAAAAATTTCAAATATTTTTTGTTTTATTTAAAAATTTATTATTTTAAAATTTTTTAATTAGGGTAAATGCACCAGTTGTTGACCGGTCACCAATTAGTTGACCGATGTATAAAAAAGTTAATTAATTAATATTTTACAAGGGTTTTTTTTTTCTTAAAGTATTAAAATAAAAAAATATGACATTTAATCATCATAATAAAAAATTACGCAATTAATTGCGCAGTGATTATAGCTTTAAAAAAATATTCTGAGTTTGTTTACAACGCAACCAGCCATAAAGCGGTCAAAAATAACTAGCGTACAATTGGAGAGTGAGTGCATTTCATCATTAATTTAGTGATATTTATCGGCATAATATAAAATATTTTAGTTATATTATGTTAATTGAAGATCAGATTCCAACTTTTTTGAAAAAATAAAGTTAAACTATAAGTTTTAATATTATTCTAACACCGGTCAACTATTGGATCCGTCAGAAGCCCTTTACCCAGTAAAAAATTCATTCGGTCATTTATTAGACCCTCTGACTTTATCACAATCCAATTAATGACCGTATATTTATAATACTAACTTCTCAACCTTAAAATTAAATCTGTCAAGTGTTTAAAGTACTTTAGTCATTCAATATTTTGTAAATATAAAAATAATCATTATAAAATGTAAATTTATAATTAAAATAATACTTAAAATGTTTTTTGATTATTAAATTTTATTTTGTTCTAATTTTTTTAGTGAACGGTTATATCAAAGAACGAATTATTAGAAGAAAAAATTGCTAAGCAATTAAAAAAATAAAAAAGAGTTACAAGCTAGTAAAAAAGCTTTAATTGAAAAAAAGAAGGAGAAGAATAAAAAAATTTCAAGTGAATCAGAAGAATTATCGTCATCAAAATGAATTTGTGATTATTTGTGACCTAAAGAAATGTGACTTTATGTTAATTATTGCTATTATTTACATTATTTTATAAAAAAAAGTACGATTTAAAATTATATTGTATGTTTAGTTCTGTTAAAAATGTCGTTAATACTTCAAAAGTACTGCATAAATTTAATTACATACATGTAGTTTACAAAATTACTTATAATTATTTTAGCGGTCAATTAATTGGAGAACGGTCGGTCATTTATTGGGTTTCTTCGGTCAATAATTGGTGATTTTAGTATTTCAACATTCAAATAACAAAATTAATATAATTTTGTTAATTTTTATTATAAATAGTTATTAATTATTATTAATTAAGTATTTAACTTTAATAAAATCCATTATAAATTGTTTTTAGTAGGTTAATAGATTTTTTATAGCTTAGTACAGAAAAAGAAAACCTTAATCGGTCAATAATTGGTGCATTTACCCTACTTATTTTTTTCAATTTACAAATTTTAAAAATTTTCCTCAATTTTCAGAAAAATTACAATAAAATAAAAATATCAAAATTATTTAACAATGTTACTCAGAATATTTGACAGTTAATAAATTAATTACCTGAAAATTTCTAACTTTAGCTTGACAAATAGCTTGAGTATTGCAGCCTGTTCCCCCTGAGGAGTGATGAACAACCACTAACGCTGGTGGATTTACTGTGAGATTCACCGGAAGTAATTTGGGTAATCTTGCTCCCCATTCTTGTCTGCTTATAATGTTAACTATAAATATAATTAATCATTAATTTATATAATAAAAAACTCAACTCACTCAAAATTAATTCAACAAATATCTATATCAATTTTTTAGATTTTTATGAAAAAAAAAAAAAAAAAAAATTACCTGTAGATTGACCAGAAATCAAAACCAGAGCATTGATAAAAATGATCTCCGTAATAAGAAACATTTTCAAGATAACTTTTAATATTTTTATTTAAAATTGTATGTGTTATTCTTTACACGCGCGTTCACACAATATTATCACATCACGCTTAATAGACATACATAAACTGCTGATTGGGTACTTGAGATATTCAATAAATAACACTCAGTCGCAGTCGCATTGATGTGTATACTTGCCATGTGACTTTATCTAATATTTATTATTACTTTATTTGTAGCCGCTTTTTATTATTAATTATTCAATGAAGAAATGGGAATCCCTCTTCTTTACTCGGCAAGTGATTAAAGTAAGTGGAATTATACAACTGATAGTTGTTTTTTATAATTATTTTTATTTAAAAGTATTTTAAATTTATAATTCATAAATTATGATTATTAATTTATTAAAGTAAGCTTTTTTTTTTTTATTAAAATAAAATTGCAAGTGTCACACAACTAGGCCAGTATCAGTAACTAGGTCTTTTAGAACTTTTAGAATTTGGTTTATTAAAAGTCATTATTTAATAAAGCAAAATTTTATTTACTTACACGGAAAAAAGTAAACTGTAATATTAACTCGGATTCCGGTTAATTTTTATATAGTTTCAAACAGTAAAGCGGACATCAGGATGACAAAAATATAAATATTACAGAACTCAATGTAGAAAGTATAAAAGCCACAATTTATAATTTAATATCCAAAATAAGTGATTAGTAGCAATCACTATAGTAAATAACGACTCTTTCATCTTAAAAAATTACAGTTTCAAACAGTAAAAATTGCCATTTCAATATAATTGTTATTGCGGGTGATTTTAATATTAATAAGTTTCTTAAACATCAAGCTAAACTACTGTTTGACGCACGATCTGCGCATTTGAATGACTTTAATAATCTGTTGAAATTTGAATAATATAATCTTGTCATGAATTATCAAAATTACTGTTCAGATCTAGTTTTTATTTGTCAAATAAAATATGTAACGTAGAGAGATCAGACTGGATATTATTGGCTTTAATCTAAATAGAAAACTGGACAGTGTATCTGATGAGAACTCAAGTTCGCATAAATTTAACTTTAACTTTAGAAAATATGATGAGTCTCATCGAATCACTGTTTCATTTAATGCAGTGTTTTGATCGTAGATCTAAAAACAATTTTTTATTTTTGTTCTTTGTTGTTATCGCCTGCAAAACACTAAAGTATTGTTTATTTTTTTTATTATTTTTTTCTGTTTTTGTAATCAGCGGAACTTAGCTCAATAATACGCATTGTATAGCGAGTTAGTTAAGGCATCTTGTTTTATTTTAATTATATAAAATTTATAACTAATGTATCTAGTAACCCTGTTAATGGCTTAGGCTGTTGGGTTTGTTTCTTTGAATAAAAATAAAATATAGTCCATATTATGAGGAGAAGGGGAACTCAGATGAAAGAGAAGGGGGTCTCACTCGGAGAATTTAACATTTGAAACAGTAAAAATTACACTTTTAAAATATACATTTTACCAGTCCAAGCAAGTCAATAATTACAGTTTGATTTTTAGCGTTGCGTTTAAAATTTACCATTTTACTTAGTAAATATTGACGTTGCTTGTATTAGAAATTTACTAACTTTCATATTAAAGTCTGAATTCTTAATTATTATACTTAAACATTTTAGACATTGACATAGCGAATATTACTGTTTGAAATATTATTTTCTTCCATGTAAAGAGTAAATTGTAACGTTTAAATGGTAAATATTACAATGTGAATAGTAAAATCACGATTTTACTGTTTGAAATGGTAATTTTTAGCAGTTGATTATTACTTATTATAAATTGACTGTTATTTATTACAGTTTATTTTTTTTTTTCGCGTATAGTTCACAAGTCACGGCAGTCACATAGTGACTGCAAGGTTACTAGTAATAGTTATTAAATTTGCAAAGTTATAAAAATAACAACACGGAATAGTGTAAAACAGTAAATTACACCGTGTTAAATTTACACGAGTAAAAATTTCACATGGAGGAAATTTTATACCGACTTTTCACACTTACACGACGGTGTAAAAGTTTCTGGGTCCAACTTTTACACCGAAATTTTTTACAGTGTACGGCTCGAGTGAGAATATTGAAAAGAACCCAAGTAGCAACAATTTTTTCCGTACATGGGGTCAATTAGACCCAGTATGACCACTACGGGTTAATGTCAAGGCTCAAGCCAAATGGCAATTTCAATACATAGTAAATACAATCGTGAGTACATAGAACAATAAAATTTTAATTAACAAATAGTAAAAGATAATCTGAGAATTGCATTTTTTATTTATCAAAATTCAATAGATAATTATACACTTGATTTTTAAAAATTTGTAAGCTAGATGAAGTAACAATTTACCTTATGTACTTTATTTGCTATTCGGCAATTATGCCTTAGCAAAATAAAAAAAAAAAAAATTTTTCTTCGATAAGAAGAGACTTAAGAAGAGTAAATCTTTAAGTAGATCTATAATGTCGACGAACCTGTAACTTTATATGACCTAAAAATTGATAAAAAATGTGACATCTATTATCTGTACACACGAAAACGATCGTGTGTATATTGTATTGTATATAAATGGTAGATTGAGTGACTGGCGTATTGAATCGAGGGAACATTCTCAGCGGTGGTCTATGCTTGTTACTTTTTATTATCACTGTATGCTAGTGTATCATACAAATAGATAGGTACATTTGTATCTTTTATTATTTATCATGTATTTTATTTTACCGCTGGTTAGATTGATGGATAGTCTGATGGTCCACAGCCAGAGAACTTCGGGCTTTCAAGGTGATATCACCTAATATTAATGTTCTATCACTAACCCTTTAAAATGAGTCACGATCATGATTAAGCTTTCGGATTTGTGGGAATAGTTTCTTTTTTTATGTACTTAGACAAATTTTTATGGTGATAATTTTTTTTATTAATCAATTTGTTTTTTACAGTGATAGAAATAATTCCTATTTTTAGGGAAGAAATGAGCTGAGACTTTTTTGTACACTATTATTTAAGAAATTTTGAATTTTATCTAAATTTCAAATAATTTAATTGCTTATAATAATTTTTTATCCAAAAAAAAAGGTAAAAAATAAAATTTTCAATTTTTTAAGAATTAAAATTGATGAAATTTATAATAAAATAATTATCTTGAGAAGAGAAAAAGTTCTTGAAAAAAAAAAAAAAATAATTAACTTTAATCAAAAATAAGTTTTTGGCTCAATAATTTTTTTCTTAATTTAACTCAAAATAATTTTCTTAATAATGGAATTTTTTATTTAAGTTTAAATATTCTTGTCATTTTTTTTTATCAAAGTAAGAAAAAAAACCGTCGAATTTTTAATAACAATAAAATATTTTAATAATTTTTTTTTCTGAAGAATTTTTGCTTATAAAAATGTATACACAAAAAAATCAATTGAGATAAAAAAAAAAATTTTTGAGCCAAGAAAATAATTTTAAAAAGTTTAATTGTTTTAAATTAAGAAGAAAAATTTTTCTACTCAAATTATGACGATAAAGCTTTTTTAAAATAATTTTTTTTATACGAGTAAATTTTTTTTTCTGTGTATTTAAAATAATAAAAAAATTTTTTAATTCTTAAACTTAAATTTAAATAAATTTTTTCCGATTTAAAAGATTTTTCTTCTTAATTTAAAACAATTAAACTATTAAAAACAATTTTCTTGATTCAACAATAAAATTTCCACAAGCTTCAAAGACATAAATGTTGATAAAAAAGTTCAGATCGAAATGAAAAAAATCTAAAAGTTTAACTAGAATGGTAATTTTGACATCCCTGATGCTCAAAGTGTCAGACATACCCCAAAGTTTAGTGGCGATCTCTAATGAACTGGTAGTCCGTTAGTTAGCCTTCTCGCTACAATGTATATATGTTCTTAACACACATATACATATCATACAATTGCGTTTACCCATTTACCATTCGTACATACATGGCATGTGTTATGTACGTAGACGACCGGACTGTATCCTTAGCTATGTGTGTTAGATTTGTACAAAGCACATTCAGTGTTGTAGTATGTACCTTTACTCTCGCACGTCTAGCGACTAAACCCGAGGGCGTTAGATCCCGCATGTTCTATTCGGGTTTTTCATCATATCACTTATCTTCCTTGCTCTTCTCTCTGATGTGCTTCGGTTACAAATACAAATAAATCCCGTTAGAGACCGACAACTTCATTCCTCGGTTCTCTTCGTTCATGCGAATTAAAAGTTACATTATAAATACAATTAAAAATTTATTTCTTCTTTTCTAAAATTAAAAGTTACATTAAATACATATAATAATTTATTTCTTCTTTGTAATAATTAAACATTACATTAAATCCGATTAAAAATTTATTTCTTCTTTCTTAAAATTAAAAGCTACTTCAAATACAAATTAATAATTTATTTCTTCTTTCTAAAAATTAAAAGTTACTTCAAATACAAATTAACAATTTATTTCTTCTTTGTAATAATTAAACATTGCATTAAATCCAACTAAAAATTTATTTCTTCTTTCTTAAAATTAAAAGTTACATTTAATATATATAATAATTTATTTCTTCTTTGTAAAAATTAAAAATTACATTAAATACATATAATAATTTATTTCTTCTTTGTAAAAATTAAAAATTACATTAAGAATTTATTTCTTCTTTTTAAAAAACTTATCTCAAAATTCTCAAAAAAAATATTTCCTAAAAAAATTCAAATCTGCAGGACTAAAAAAGCTTAAAATTAATCCAAAGACTTTATGTGTGTGTATGTAAGCTTTTATTTAGGGGAAAGTTAAATAATGAATGCAAATTTACATTTTTAGTGGATTACCCGGGACCAGATATTTCGTGACCGGCTCTAAGCTGGGGATTAACCTTACACTTACAACTGTAATAATAGACGGGAGATATCATTACCAAAATGCATACAAGTGTTCACGCTGTGAATACCCCGAGGCTTTTACTATTTATTTCTTTATTTTATATCTATACAATCTGCCAACTTCAAAATGACACATTTTTCGACGACTTATTACGAATATATTCTTTTGTTGTTATTGCGATTCGTCTTTGGGAAAAACTAACGACAGATATTGTAAAGTCCTCCAGCATTGAAGTCTTTAAAAATATTATTGTTTTAAATTTTTTTATAAAAATCTCGCTTTTTTTTAAATTTAAAAAAATGAAAAAATTTTTCAAAATTCGATTTTTAAATTTTATCGAAATTTTTCTTCATAAAATCAATTTTTTAACTTGTAAAGAAAATTTTCTATAAATTTCAACATGATTATATATTACAGTTTGATAAAAATATTTGAAAAAATTTTTTTCACTTAGTTAAAACAGAAAAAAATTTTATTTTTGAAATTATAATAAATTATTTGAGCAAATAGGCGTTAGAATAAAAATAAATTTGTCATTGGAAGTTGTTTCTATTGTGTATCATGAACTCTCCCCAAGGATTTTAGATGTTAGCTAGTTCAACAGATCGTATAATATTTTTTTCTGGATTTACGGGTCCCCTAATGTGTTAAGTAACTTGTTAAACACCGTGTACTGATGTTCTGAACGATAAACTCAAATATAAATATTTGATGTTTTTATTTAATTAAAATAAATTTTACATTCATATGAGTAAATTTTAATATAGTTATAAATAACTTACTGGTAAAAATTTTTAATCAAGTAATTTATTTATTTTTTTTTTTCTTTACTTTACTACAATATTAACCTTATGTTCCAACTTTTCATTTTTATTAATAATAACAATAACAATATCGCATTCTATGTCCAAGTTCTTGAAGAATAGCTGTAATTATTCTTGTGTTACTCTGATGATTACTTTCTTCAAATCTTGCGGGTTATCGACTATCAACTAAAAAATAAAAAAATAATGTTGAAATCAGAAAATTTTTTATTTTTAAAAATTTTCAATTTTCTAGATTTAAAATTTTTTATTTCAATTTAAAAAAAATTTTTCAGAGGTCATATTAACTTCAATATCATAAAAAAAATAATATTTATAAAAACTAACCAAATGTCCGGCTTCTATAATATAATACTCCAAATTTCCATATTTCTTCATCGAAATCTTGTTATCAATATCAACTTGTCTTGCTGCTTGGAATGCTTCTTTATTTTCCCAATTAAAACTGTTTACCCATGAGATAACAGTTGGCGCCGGAATGAAAAGATCATTTTCACCAGTAATTACCACAACTCTAACATCCGTTTTAAGAATTTGATCAACTAAAAATTCACAAAAATCAAAGTTGTATATCATTCTCATCAATAGTTAATTTATTATGATAAGTATTTAGTCTACATTTGAAAATGCTCTAGCTCTAGCTACATAATAAAGAAATGACCTTGTATCTTGTGAACTACTGAGATTTTTAGAGATATAAGCTCATCCCGATGTTACTCTCATCGATACCTTTCATTTGAGTACCCACATCAATTTTTCATATATTTATATATATTATATATATATATATGTATATATGAAAAATATATCAAAAATGCATGTAGGTACTCAAATGAAAGCTCTTGATGAATATAACATCAGGATGAGCTTACATCTTGTAAAATATTGACATTTTTAAAGATATAAGCTCATTCTGATATTACACTCATCGAGACCTTTCATTTGAGTACCCACATCAATTTTTCATATATTTATATATTTTATATATATATATGTATGAAAAATATATCAAAAATGCATGTGGGTACTCAAATGAAAGCTCTTGATGATTGTAACATCGGGAAGAGCTTATATCTTTATAAATGTCAATAATTAAGAAAATACAGTACACTTTAACAAAAGTCATTTTATAATTGAGCAAAATTTGAAGTGTTAATAAATAAAAAATAAAATAATTACAAGTTTGTTTAATAGGCTTCGCAGTTTTTTCACCAAAATTCACCATTGCAGAATAATCTGCATCATTCTTCCACTCGTGACCGAGCCGCAGTACATTCTTCACATGATTGTTCATCAGACTTTTCAACTTATCGTCTTTCTCAACGTCAGAATAATTAGTCGTTACACTTGGTGACAAATTGAATATATTATTTAATTTAAAATGATTTCGAAGAAAAACAATTTGCGCAGCAAATGAAGAAGAAAACATTTCCCAATATTCTCCTTTTTTTTCAGCTTCTGTAGCATTTCTCGCCCTTTCTTCAATTTCTTTAAACTCTTCTTCGCTAAATTTATCCTGCGTAAGATTTTTTAATTAATACTAAACATTAATTATAAAATTTGATCCTTACTTTATTAGAAGGCTTGGCCCAAAAATTAACAACATCAACCAATGAAATCCACGGAGCTCCCAAAACAACAGCTTTTAAATTACTTTCAATTTGTTTATTTTTTTGAGCCTGTAACAGTCCACAAATTCAAGTTTTAATAATTTATAGTAAAAAAATTGGTAAATTTAATATTTATTTTCACATACTTGACCCCAAATTGAAGCGGTTTTAGCGGCGATAACTGTCCCGACGTTTTCGCTCATCATATAGGTAGGAATAGTTCTGAACTCGGGAACTTTGTTTAAGAAATCCTTGATAACCGCGAAAGTATCTTCACCCATTTGGTCACTTGAACTTGGGTAGTTTGTTTCATTGTCGACATAACTGAACCCGCAGTCCAAAATATTGTCGATGAATAAAATATTGAAGTCTTTGAGCCATGTTTTGTCTCTGGGGTTAAGATCAATATCCAGCGGTCCGATTTGGTCGAAATTATTTACACCTAAATTATTATTAATTTTGAAACTAAAATTAGCCTATTTAAAAATTTTTTTTATTGAAAAAATTTCAATTGTAAAAATTTTAAGTCCAATTTTGTTATAAATTAATTAATGAATAATAAATAAAAAAATTAAAAACATCGGCTAACTTTAGTATTATAATTAGCAGACGTTCAACAATTTTTTAATTTTTTTGTAATTATTTTTTTAATAAAAAAAATTATAAAAATTTTGAGACGTCGGATGGTTAAATTTTTATTTATTAATATAGAAGGCTTAAAATAATTTTTAAGTTGTGAAGAAATGAATTAATAGTTTTAAAAAATAAAAAAAAACATTCTCCTACAGATTGTTTAATTTTCTAAATATGCATTTAAAACTTAACTCTATTTTATTAATTGTTTTTATGAATTTTTCTATATTAAATTTACAATCATCATACCTGACGCTGCTTTTAGAATTCCCGTGGTCAATGAAATTAATAGAGGTTTATTTTTGGAAGTTGCCTCGCTAGATGAAGTGTGGTACAACCACCAAAAGTAGTGAGCGCCTTCTCGGACAGTCACGTAACTCCAATTTTGTTTCGTTGAGCCAACGCCTTTTTCTTCATCACTTTTTACTTCTTTTGCTGTTAATAATAAATATGTGTTAGTGATTGAAGTTAAAATTAATTGCGAAGAATTTTTTTTATCGCTGAAAATTTTCTTGATTAAAGTTATTTTCTCGGGAGAAATGAAGTTAAAGAAGAAATTTTATAGTTTCATTGAAAGGTAAACTTTTTTTATAACTAAATTTGAAAATAATGAATAAAAAATTTACTTTACTGATTGTAACTTTATTAAAATAAATGTAGAATTATATTTATTTATAAAATTTTAGTACTTGATTTTTTTACAACTTCACCTTCCAAAAAACAATTTTTAATTTTATTAATATAAAAAATTATTTATCTATTATTTTAGAATCAATTTTATTAATTTAATTAATTATTTACATACCATTATATAAATAAAAAACTAAAATTAAAAAATATATATTCTTCATTATGAAAAATATCACTACAAATTTAGAGACTGAATCAAATATTTTGTAAGTGCTATCCAAATTTTCTTTATATAGCCGCGAGAAAAATTGAAATTCAATAAAAAAAATCTTATCTTTAGATAATTTAAATAACAAAAAAAAAGTGTCAAATGAAGAACAAATTTCATAATTTTAACAATTGTTTACATGACATTAAATATTAAGTCAAGTGTGAAAAAATGATTGTACTTTTCGATCGCATTTTTAATAAAATTTTTATAATAATAATTTATTTATTTATTTATTTCTTTGGAAAAGACCCGACAGCCAAAAGCCACTAACAAGGTCACATAATTATTACACAACTTTACATTTGATATTTTATTTATAATTTAATTCATTTTTATAAATACTTGTTTAGTTACAAAATAGATTGTGCACTTAGTACTTAGATACAATAGCTTTTGATAAGAGCAAAATATATTTTGTGACTAACATTTCTGAGGAGACCGCAGTTATTAGTAAAGGCCAGTTATTATTAATTAATAACAAATTGTTTAACAATTATAATAAATTTCTGAATTGTTTAATTAAAACTTACCTTGAAGTAAATAAAATATTAAAATTGAAATATAAATGTTTTTCATTGTAAAAAAATGTCTCTAAGAAACTAACGCTTTTTACTGAAGTTTAAAGTAAATTTCAACCTCTTTATAGTCGAAATTTTTTAGTAATATATTTAAAAAAAATTTCATTAGAATATCTAGAGTCGTTAGATTTATCAAAAATAAGTTATTATTTAAAACTAATATTTTATTACTGAAGTTTGCAGTAAATTTTAACTTATCTTTTTAAAGCTTGTAAAAAATTCATTGGAAATTCAATCGTAAAATTTATCAACCACTATTAATTATTATCATTGCACGTGTCATGATTATATAATAACCGAGAATATTTTCAAGGTGAATTTTAATAAACAAATGATTTATATTCATCGATTTTTTATTATAAATTATTTTATATTGTTGAAAATAAATCAAGTTTAAAAAGAGATAATTATTCTATCTTTTTTTATGTTGCAAATTATTTATTTATTTATTCATTTGAGCGCCAATTGGCATTACACAACAATTAGTATATTCCTTAAATTATAAATTTTTTAATTTTGAAATTTTGGCTCGAAAATTGCACAGAAATAAATTTATTTGGCGATGCCTAGAAAAAATAAAAAAATAAAAAAATTAACAGTGTTATTAATATTATTATTATTATTATTATTATAAGATAATTAAAAAAAAAATATTTTTTTCAATTAATGCACGATGTTTATTATTTATTTATTTAATTTTAATGCCAAGGCAGAAACTAAATGGCAAACTTAATACAATTTAATTATTAAATTAAGATAAAATTTATCACAAATATTGCACAAGAATAATAAATACTTATTTAACACTTATCCAATTATTTACAAATTAAATTAAAGTTTAAAATTGAATTTAATGTTTAAAAAATTTTGCGACTGAAATTATTAGAGGTATTTTAATGAGTAGTAATTTTTTTTTTAAATTTAAAAAATTAGTGAATTTAAAAAAATGATCGACAGTAGCTTGAGACGTTCAATCAGCGATTTTTCATGTAAAAAAATACCGTGAAGGTTAATCAGGGCGTAAAGTTGAGATCAAAGTAAAAGAGTGGTCGCTCATTGACTTTGAGTCGAGAAATAAATTACATGCAAATCGAAAGAAATAAAAGAAAGAGTTTATTTTATTTTTTTTTTTCTTCCTAATGACTTTTTATTTTTTCTGAAGAGTCTTTATTTATTTATTTCTGTCAAACCGAGAGAAAAGAGTTGAATTTATTTCAAAGAAAAGTTTGACAAATTAATTTGGCGAGTTTAAAACAATTTAACACAATTTTTAGCTGGTCTTTGGATAAAACTAAAAAATTAATAATAATTTATTATTACTGAAGAAAAAAAAATTGAAAAGTTGTATGCAAACTTTCGTACGGCAACTTTGGTATAACTTCGTAATCCAAAGATTAAAAAGTATTAAGGACAATGCAGAATATTGAATAGAATACAATAGTAATAAAATTTAATCCGAGTTTTAAAATAAGTAACATTGTTTTCTATTTTGTTTAATGTACTCTCTACTCTGTTGAGGAGAACTGTGCTTGGCTATAAAATGTGTACGGATGGAGCATAAAAGTCGAGGTAGCAATTTTGCGGATTATGCACCACGTGAAATCCGGACGAGTTCATTGTTTCAGAGCAGAGAGGACAGAAATAAATGTGAACAAAGGAATAGAAAGGAGCCGGTGAACGAATGAACGAATGAACGAATGAACGAATGGGAGTTAAAGAAAATACGCGGAGGAAATATAGAAAAGGGGTGTGAGTTGTTCGTTTTACTCTGTGAGGGTTCTATGTTTCAGAAGAAAAGAGAGAATAGATACAAGAGAGTTGTGCGCAGTGCGTATAACAGGATTAGAGGGTGGCCGTAGGCTTTTCGAGGTGCGCAATAGGGATGAGAGTTGATTTGTCGAGGGATGAAAACAAGTGGACCGAGTGATGTTCCTCGGTGTTTGACAATTAAGTTTGTATGAAAAAATACATTTCATTACGGATTTTTTTGATAGAAAAAAAATTTTTAGAGATTTTTTATTGTTGAAAAAAAAAAGTTTTTTTAATTACGATATTATTATCATTATTACTATTATTATGATATGATAAAATAAAATACACAATGAAATGAAATTTTTTTTTAATTACGATATTATTATTATTATTATTATTTATATTATTAAGAGAATAAGCGAAATATTGTGGCCAGTGTATTTATACACTGATAGAAAAACAATCTTGATTCAAGAAACTGTTTTTTCTGCAAAACTTGAACTCTTGAAACTAGATATAGATATATTTCTTTCAAGAATTAACTTGCGTTAAGAATGGCTTTTTTTTTGTCATTAATTAATTTACTTATTTCCAAGAAATTATTTTTTTTTGGTATAATAATTAAAGACTATTTAGTTTTTGAAATATACTTTGATGAATTATTTTAAGTCATTTAAACGATAATGTTATTTTGATTGAAAAACTTAAATGTATCGATTGAAGATAATATAGCTCTTAAGCCAAGAAAATCTAAATCAAGATAAGAAATTATTAAAGCAAAATAATCATTTGTCTTCCAAAATAAACAATTCTTAGATCAAGAAAATATCTCTTGAATCAACATAAACTTTCTATCAGTGAATGATAAAATGGGTTTTTATGATTAAATTTGGTATCATTGGAAAGGTCGAGACCTGAATTAGAGTCTTTTCAATGTCTCATATGCTGTTTATTTATTTATTTTGTTTTGTACACGTGAATGCGGTTATACACAGAAAAAATGTCAAAAATTAATTTATATAATTGAGAGACTAAGAAAAATTTAGTAATGGGTATATATTTATCGTAAATTGGATTTGATATTTTTTAGCGATAGTTATTTATGATTTAAATAATTGATAGAGTAAAAAAAATTTTGTGACGAGCATATTATTATTTTTAAAGGAATTGTTATAGTTTAATTTGGTATCATCAGAAAGGTCTTGAGTAGAATTAGTGCCTTTTAGTTTTATATATTTTTTAGTATTCAATTTTTTATGTTAAGTTTTTGGAGGAGATTTTAATAGTTTTTTGGTTCTATAAATTTAGTCGGTCACATTTGTCCATTAAATTATTTGTAATTGATCCTGTGATAGCACTATTATTTTTAAAATTTATTTAAAAAGTATAAAAAGTACCTAAACTATGTACAGTGTGATTATAAATATAAAAAAATTATTCAGGCAAAATTTTTTTATTCATAATTCCTAAATCTCGACAGTCGCATATATAGTGACTGCAGGTTGCTTACTTATTATTATTATTATTATTATTATTATTATTAAATTATAAAATAAAATTAAGATTTTTTTTAATGCAACACAACATTAAAATAATTTTTTTTTACATATTCTTTTAATTGTTGTTTAAAAAATAAAAAATTAAGAATTAGAGTTATTTTATGAATAGTATAAAAAAAATCTTTCTCGGAGTAAATTTCACTCCGAAGAGAATAATTTACAGAAAAATCATCTACTGCACAAAGTTTCCAAGGTGTAATAATCTCAACTCTTATTTATAACTCCAAAAAAATATAAAATGACAATCATATAAAAAAAAAAAAAAAATAAATAAATTGAATTTTAAAAAACGAAAACAGAACGCCCTTACTGGTAGTACATTAAAAAGCATAGTTTAGTTGATGATAGACTTCACTCCTTCATTCAATGGGTAATTGATCCTGTGATAGCACTATTATTTTTAAAATTTATTTAAAAAGTATAAAAAGTACCTAAACTATGTACAGTGTGATTATAAATATAAAAAAATTATTCAGGCAAAATTTTTTTATTCATAATTCCTAAATCTCGACAGTCGCATATATAGTGACTGCAGGTTGCTTACTTATTATTATTATTATTATTATTATTATTATTAAATTATAAAATAAAATTAAGATTTTTTTTAATGCAACACAACATTAAAATAATTTTTTTTTACATATTCTTTTAATTGTTGTTTAAAAAATAAAAAATTAAGAATTAGAGTTATTTTATGAATAGTATAAAAAAAATCTTTCTCGGAGTAAATTTCACTCCGAAGAGAATAATTTACAGAAAAATCATCTACTGCACAAAGTTTCCAAGGTGTAATAATCTCAACTCTTATTTATAACTCCAAAAAAATATAAAATGACAATCATATAAAAAAAAAAAAAATAAATAAATTGAATTTTAAAAAACGAAAACAGAACGCCCTTACTGGTAGTACATTAAAAAGCATAGTTTAGTTGATGATAGACTTCACTCCTTCATTCAATGGGCATGTAATAACTACAGAGAGTATACAACATGTATAATCTTTTGTAACAATTGTAACCGCGGTGGATTACGGCAGACGGTGGTTGCGCGTAACGTGTTAGCCCTTTGAACATTTTATGGATAATGCGATTTACAAATCGATCGTTCCATTGAGAATACATGAAATTATACATCGGCATAAGAAATAACGGGTTCTACAACTACCGGTTACCAATTGTAAATTTTAAATATATATTAAAGGGTGCATATATTTAACACCCGAGTCTCCATATTTACACATATTATATATTAATATTTCATAATATATATTTCTTCATCGATCTTTGTGAATTGAAAAAAAATGTTTTTCTATTTTTTTTTTTTAAAAAAATAAATTATTAAATATATAAATTTACGTCCGTAATATTTTGTTAAATTATGTTGTGTCAATTTTTGTAGTAAATAAAATAAAAATAATTTATTTATTTTCTAGGCAGGGCAAAAAGTACACCTGATAAAATATTCTATCCACATTGTCGCAATACTTATGGATACAATCACTTGCTTTGCACCCCCAATGAATTCTAAATACATACGCAATCCGTGAACAAAGTTAGAGAAGAAATAGAGTAGAGGGTTATGTTAGAATTTCAGATTCATCATATTTTTTTATGCGAAAAAAAAAATTACAAGAAATTGCTTATAAATAATTACTAAAATTTTTCTTTTTAAATTAAAAGAATGAAAA